CGAAATTCGATAAAAATTACATCAATAGAATCTTTATCCTCTAACGAGTCTATACATAGCAAACTCATCAAAATCCGACATCAAATGCCCATTCAAATCCACAAAAGAATTCTCAAACTTTTCCTCCATTTCCCCCCAATTTCCACTCTAATTTCTCAAATTAAATGATGAAATTCAAGACTAAATCATGGAATTAAATCAAATATGAGTGAAGAATACTTACCCCAATAGCTCCACTGAAAATCTCCTCAAAGTTCACATTTTCCCGAGCTCTCTAATGGAATTTCGAAATTATGGACCAAACCCTCGATTTTTAAAATATAAACTGACTGCCAAGTATTCTTCATCCTGAACGCGGCCTCACACTCGCGTTCGCGTAGCACAATTAGCTACTAACCAAAGATCCTCCTACGCGGGCGCCATGACCATCTCGCGAATACGATGCACCATTAAACGGACCTTCGCGATCACGGCTCACACTTCGCGAATGCAGAGCACAAATCCTCCCTTGCCCCCAGTTCCCCTTCGTGAACGCGAATCTCCCCTCGCGAATGCGAAGGAGGAAACCAGTAATTGAACATCAGATTTTTCTGCAATTCCAACAAGTACAAAACTAGTCCGTTAATCATCCGAAACTTACCCGAGGCCCTCGGGACCTCAACCAAACATGCCAACATATCCCATAATATCATTCAAACTTGTTCCAACCTTCGGAACACTCAAAATAACATCAAAACATCAAATCATCATCGGATTTAAACCTATAAATTCCAAAAATTTCCAAATTTCGAATTCGATCAAAAAGTCTACCAAACCTCGTCCGAATGACCTGCAATTTTGCACACATATCACAAATGACACAACGGACCTACTCCAATTTTCAGAATTCCCTTCCGGTCCCTATATCAAAATCTCACCTATCAACCGGAAACTAAAAAGTGTAGCATGCCTGAATCTAACTGGGGTTCGCGTTGGTGGAGGAACTGGATCGGAAAAAAGAACTTGTATCCATGCGCTTCATATTCGCCCGGAGTTCGCTCCCATAAATATAGCCATCCCTGCCCCCTTACGTCAATCCCACGAGCCTCTTATCCATTCTCATTGAACGACGGCGGGGGAGCAAATCCAACTAGAAAAACGCGCCACAATTCCAATTTCGCCAATTCAAGCTTAAACATTCCACGAACCTCCAAAATACATTCTGATCATGCTCCTAAGTCCCAAATCACCTAACGGAGCTAACCAAATCACAAAAATTTCAATCCGAGATCATATACTAACAAGTCAAAATTTGGTCAAACCTTTCAAATTTCAAGCTTCAAACTGAGAACTGTTCTTTCAAATTCATTTCGATTATCCTGAAAACCAAAAACTAATGATTTACATAAGTCATAATACATCACATGGGGCTAGTCATGCCCGAGAACTGGCGAGCGAAGTGCAAGAGCTCAAAACGACCGGTCGGGTCGTTACACTTTATTAAATTTAGAAACCAAACCAAATCAACTTAACTCGAGTTTTTCGATATTGTCAACCTTCATGATTTTTATCTTATACCAATGGTCTTTCACTTAGATAAGTAAATTTTATTTAATTCTCCCAATCATATAAGTAGGGTTGTACATAGGGAGTGTTGGTTCGGATTTTCTAATTACCAAATCAAACCAATTGTATCGGATTATTAAATCTAAAGACCAAACCAAACCAATAAAAGTTGGGGTTTTCAATCTCGGATTTTTCGGGTTTTCGGGTTTTTTTCGTTTTTTTTCTTCATAAAGTCTTCATAGCATAAAATATAGAATTTGTGCTCCAAATATTTCTTTAATCCTAGTAAGATAGAACTATATAATGTGTTTTTCAATAAAATAATAGAAATATGAGACGAGTCATAGCATTGTACTAAAATATTCAACAATAAAGATAATAAAATCGCATAAAATAAGTATTATTCATAAGCCATAATGAAAACAAACATAATTTAAAATTACTAATAAGTTGCTAAAATAAATATGACTAATAAGTACTATTATTTATATGACTAAACACTAAAACAAATAAGTTATGCATTTTATCTAAACCACGAAAAAAAACTAAAAAAATAAATATTCAACACCATTTTCATTCATAATACAATTGAATTGAATGTCTTTTATTAGCATCAATATTAATTTGATATTGATTTAGGATTTATTTGAGTTACTAACATTTATGAACTATAAAACTTATTGGATCATCAAAAAATTATAAATCTAGGCTTGAAATAATACGTGAAAAGATAAAACTATGAAAAAACTTGAGAAATATTTATAAACTACACTATAATAAATATTGTTATGTATTAAATATATTTAAAACGTCTATACATATAATGTCGGGTTGGTTTGGTTTCGGTTTGGCTTTTTTTAGTTAAAACCAAACCAAACCAAATATGGTCAGGTTTTTTACCCAACACCAAACCAAATCAAACCAAACCATAGTCGAATTTTTTTATCGGTTTGATTCGGATTATCGGGTAGGTGCGATTTGTCAGTTTCATTTGTATACCCCTACATATAAGGTAAATAAACAATGGCATGTTTATTCATGTGCATGAAATAGAAATCCCTTTGAGTTAAAATTTTCTCAATCTTGAAATATTTTGAATTACGTTCATATCACCTATAAGCGATACCGATATTTGGCATTCTTATTTTTATTTTTAGAAAATTATTTATGAAATATATTTGAAGAATTCTAGTACGGAATATATAAGAGTGGCATGGATTTTTCTTTTATAAAAACTAGTATCTATGAACGTGCATCGCACGTTAATAATGGCAGTGATAATTTAAACATTTATTTATATGAAGAAACAATAAAATTTGATTAATGAGAGAAATTTTATGTATAATAATACAACAATCATCTAAATGCTGAAATATATTATTACATTAACATAATACAAGAATTTAAAATAAAAGGGCATCATCAAAACTTACACAAATGATTAATTTTGTCATGTTAATTAGATAATTATATATTATAGTTTAAAAGTAATTAATGTGATGGCATCTTAACGAACATTTCTTTATGCACAATATTTTTTTATGTATGTTTCCTCCTAATGTGTTGGTTGCTCTGCCTTAACCAGAACTCTTGTTGTCGATCTTGATATCCTTCTTAAAAGTGCAGCATACAGTTGTTCGTGCAAGAAAACATATTGTGGTAAATATAGTCCAATATTTAGGATGTTTGTCCTTATGCTTTATTTATTATATTTGCAAAGATAAACATACTAAAAATTATTTCTCACACAAATTTAAAAGGATATTCCTTAGTTTCAGAAGACGAAAGTTGAATTCAAGGATAAGAATATACTTAGAAGAACTTTAACCAGTATGATAATTTTTGCGTATATGACCTTATTGTCAAAACTTCTATATACCATATGTGTGCAATTACATGGGCTATTCGGCGTATCTAAGTTTTTCAATAGCATGACGGACATATTTTTCTTCAAAATTAACCTATATACAATGAAAGGTTAATTTTAACTTAATCTATTATATATACAGTGACACTAACATATGTAAGAAATAAGAAACTTGACAACAAATATGTATGGTAGAAGACCATTTGGTATTAAAGTAAGTATTCTTCTTGGTAGTAATTATTGGTATTATTTTCTACTGAGTCAAAAACTGAAAAATATTTTATTTTTATTATAAAATTTTGCAATCAACATTTTGTTTAGTTGATCAACATATTTATTTATGCTAGCTAAGATATCTTTTTAATTCTATCGTGCGATTTGCACAAATTGCGTTTTAATCTAATGATAGAAATATTTTTCATATTAAATGTAGTACTAATGCACTACTAGTGTGATTTTTGAACAGAACGACTATTTCTCTCTCTTCAAATTTCTCTCTCCCCGCTAGTGCACTCTCTTCTGCTTTCTGATTTTTCGACGCCGGCAACCTCAGGTAAGTCATCCTCTCTCTCTCCTGATCTTCTCCCTCCTTCCTCTCTCTCTCCTCCCCCCTCCTCTCTTTTCTCCACCACTTTTCTCTCTTTTCTCCACCCTTTCTCTCTCTTTTCTCTGTTTCATCGCCGGAATTTCTGGCCGGCGACCTCCAAGCGCCTCTCCTCTGTCTTCCTTCTCTTCCCCTCACTCCCTTCTTCTCTCTTACCTCCATAAACCCGTATCTCTTTCCCTGCTGATCGTTTTCCCCAACCTTTCTTGAGCCCAAATTTTAGTCCCGAAACCCTAGAAGCCTCGCCGGCGACCCCCTCCCTTGTTGCCCCTCCCTTTTCGACATCGTCTAGGTCCACCAATGCGACAGGTTGACAGTCCCCCTCCCTAGTGGTTTCGTGGTGGTTGTGTGTGATTTTTCAGGGAACTAGTTGCGGCGGCCCAGGCAAGCACGAGGCGTACGAGCGAGTAGCGCGGAGCATCACCGGCTAGTGTGTGCAAATGTTGGCGGGAGTGGGAAGGATGCACGATAGATTTCTGTGACCTGGGGTGCATCAAGTCATATTTCCAGGTTCTTTCCATCGGGAGTTGGTACCTCCCGTTTTCTTGTCTCTTTCTTTATGTCAGTTAAATTGTGGCTTTTAGTTAGCATCACTTTAAGCATATTATTAAAGTACTTGTAGTTGCTGCCTGTTATTTTCTAGTTTGGGTATGTGTTAGTTTTTTTCGAAGTTTATAGTAGGTATAGTGGCTGTGGTCTGGGATGGTCGAGTAAGGTCATGTCCTTAACGGGTGCCGGGGGTGAGAAGGGGGGTGNGGCACGCTGACGGGTAAATCTATTGAGTTGGCGAAGATTCTCCAGAAAAGGAAGGTTAATATAGCTTGTGTCTAGGAGACTAGGTGGGCAGGGTCGAAGGCGAGGAACGCGGATGGGTATAAGTTGTGGTACTCTGGAGTTGTGATGGGTAAGAACGGAGTGGGTATCTTGGTGGATAGGGATCTTCGAGAGTCTGTGGTTAAGGTTAGGTGATAGAATGATAGGCTAATGTTTATTAAGTTGGTGATTGGTGAGTGCACCCTCAATGTCGTTAGCTCTTACGCGCCGCAAGTGGGCTTGGACGAGGAGATCAAGAGGCGCTTTTGGGAGGGTTTGGACGAGATAGTGCGTAGTATTCCACCTACTGAAAGGTTATTTATTGGAGGGGATTTTAATGGCCATATTGGGTCGGCAGCTTGTAGTTATGTCGAGGTGCATGGTGGCTTTGGCCTTGGGGATAGGAACGGACGAGGTACTTCGCTGTTAGACTTCGCTGAGGCTTTCGACCTGGTGATTGCGAACTCGACTTTTCCGAAGAGGGAGGAGCATCTAGTTACTTTCCAAAGTTCGGCGGTGAAGACTCAGATTGATTACCTTCTCCTCAGAAGGTGTGATAGAGGGTTGTGCAAGGATTGCAAGGTTATCCCGGGAGAGACCCTCGCGACTCAGCACAGGCTCTTAGTGATGGACATCGGCATTATGATGAAGAGTAAGAAGAGGTATGCTCGTGGCCGACTGAGGATTAGATGGGGAGCTTTAACCAAGGATAAAACACAGGAGTTGGAGGAAAGTTTATCCGCTATGAGAGCTTGGAGGAGTAGTGGATATGCGAGCACTATGTGGTCAATGACGGCGAACTACGTGAGGGAGGCGGCGAGAGAGGTGCTAGGGACATCGAAGGGTTTTTCTGGCAGGCACCAAGGCGACTGGTGGTTGTCACGACCATAAACCCGAACCCGGTCGTGATGGCGCTTCTCGTGAAGACAAGGCCAGCCAATTAAACCCAATTCATTTTTTAAACAGTTAAATAACATAAAAGCAGTCTAAAATGTGATATAGCAATACTAGGTAGCGGATGTAGACATGTGATTTTTGACCCTCCCCAAGATTTTTTATATTTTAGCACTTAAATATTTAATTTAGGCCTAATATAGCTATTTCAACTCATTTTACTCTCTTACTTTATTTTATTACAAGAAAATAAAAATTACAAAAAAATAGGTTCATTAATGTTTTGTAGTCATTTTTAATCTTAAAAAATACAAAAAATAGTATCGTATTTTTATTTTAATATGATATTTGAAAAATACCAAAAATGATTTTGTTTTAAAGGTCAGTCTTATTTTAATAATTACTTTTACTTAAGTAGGGCTAATTAATATTTTTATATGTATAGATTTTTAGTTAATTAAGCTAAGTTTAAGTAAAGCTAGTCATAAAAGCCCAAGTTTTCTATCCCATTCCTTAAGCCCAATACCCAATACTCATTAAGCTAACCCTAGGAACCCTTCTAGAATTTTCCTTTCGAAAAAATAAAAGAAAAAAATCTAAAAAAATCCTTACCCTATAAGAGTAACGCCTAAATGAGCTGGGGAAGAAGGTGGACACAGTACAAGCGTCGATTCTATCACAAGACCCCACCTCCCTGCCGGTTATCTTCTCATTCCTCACACCACCAAACGCCCACACCGCAACCGCCAGAACCTAGCCACCGTCCATATCCTCTTTAGCTTCGTTGTCGAAATCCGGCAACCACCAACACCACAATCAAAATACACACATACACACGACATAGAGAGTGAAAACAGGAAAAAGGAGTTTTGGACAGATTAGGGGATTTCCTTTCTGATTTTTGGTTTTAATTTTCATGTATAAACATTATCAAAAGAATTTATGTTTCTTCTCACTACAAAAAATGGTTTGAGATTTGAATTTTGGAGTTGATTTCGACTGTCCGTTTCCGAGTTAGAGGTCGTCGTTGAGTCTTTGGAAGTCGACGTTGAGTCCTACCATGTTCAGTCATTGGTGCCGGTGCTAGGTTTGTCGATTTCATATTTCTGTTTCAAATTTGCTTTTGTAGTTTTTACAGTTGTTCGATTCTCTTTCGAATATTGCTCTGTAGCGTTTGGAATGGTTGATGATTTGAAATTGACATGAGGCATCAGAAACTTGTTCAATTACTTACTGTTGCTATGGTTAATTCGACAATAACATAAAAGAAAGCTTTTTTTATATTATTGAATTCGTGATAACAACGCTGCTGTGACGAAGAGCTTGGGTCCCATTATAGAAGCTAGTCATTGCATTTCGTAGATTAAGTCGTCCAACAGTAAAGTCCTGAAATAATTAAATTTGGTTGGTCTAAGGATTTTCCCCAATTTAATTTTGTGCTTTGAATTATGATCATAATTAAACAAATAAATTTTCAAACAAAGAATCCATCTAGGAGGAATTTTCTCAGCGTATAATTCGAATAATATTGAATTGAAACTCAGTAAGATTTTTGCTCAATCCTAAGTTCTCTTCATAGATTTTTCTTGATATTTATTAAGTTATCTTTGGTTAGTTTTAATCTATTGTAGAGTTTCTTGTTTTCTTTAAAAGGAAAATGAATTGCATGCTCTCATGTGTTAGTCCTTCTCATGCGTACATGTTAGATTGAAAGTTTCTATTATAGTTTAGGTTCATTTTAGTAAAAGTTGTCTGCATCTTCTTCGTTGATCATGGAAATTGTAAGGTTCTAATTGAGTCATGAAGGGATTAGTAATAATGGGTCACGTATTGTTTGTCAGCAATAATTTCAAAGATATAAATTATGAACACCGTAGTTGCTTTAGGTGCACTATTTTAAAAATTACTTTCCTAAACTCGGGTGCGCATTTATGTGACCCAAATCCAAATCTCAATGATGTTAAAATATGTCAAAGACCACGGGTGTATTTATGTGACGTGGTTTGAGACGTGTTTTAATAACGTTGCAATTTTCTCTAAAAAATGAATAAAAGCGGTTGATAACTTACAATTGAACCATAGGCTAAAACATGTATTAAAATCAGATAATAGGCCAATTATAACAGTTGAGCGACCGTGCTAGAACCACGGAACTCGGGAATGCCTAACACCTTCTCCCGGGTTAACAGAATTCCTTACCCGGATTTCTGGTTCGCGGAATGTAATATAGAGTCAATCTTTTCCTCGATTCGGGATTTGAACCGGTGACTTGGGACACCATAAATTATCCCAAGTGGCGACTCTGAATTTTTAATAAAATAATTCCGTTTCAATTGTCACTTTAAATTAGAAAACTCCCTTATACGTCCCTTTTCCGGGGGTGTAGAAAAAAAGGAGGTGTGACAGCTCTGGCGCCTCTGCTGGGGATCGAACCCAGAATATCTGGTTCAAGGTTCAGAATTCGAGCTTAGATGTATTTGGTTTTATTTATTATCTGATTTTATTACATGTTTGGGTCTAATGTGTTAAATGATGCTTTTACCGCTTTGATATTATCTGAACTGTATATAAACTTCTACGAAACTCTTCTCTTCTCATCTTCGGGAATGTGCTCGCTGGTCGAGACTCCCTATTCTGTTAGTGTCATACCTTGAAATAAGAAAGAGGCTCGGACAAGTTACTAAGATGGATGGCCTTTTGGTTCCCGGTACGTAACCCCCTCCTCGGCTCGAGTTGTCCGCTCGGGTACACAGTCTAGAACACATACCCAGGTCTTGAACCTAGAATAACTCAGCCTCATGCCGGATTCCTAGTAGGAACGCTTGTTTGCATCACGTGCATCTGACTTTGGGGACTCAACACAGGGGTTGGGTCCGTCTAGGACAGGTGTAACCAAAATAACAGACCATCTTGATGCATCCTATGTGCTATATGTTGCATTTCTTCAAGAGTAAAAGGGTTATTTGGCGGACCAATGATAGTTGAAGGTAAATAAAAAAGAAAAAGAAAAAGAAAAAGAAAAAGTGGTTGAAGTGTGAAGATAAAGCGAGTGGGCCCAATTATGTTTTCTGTCACATTCTTGTTAAGAAAATTAAAAAAAAATTGTACTTTTTCATCATTTTCCGTAAATCAGAAAATCAAAAAATAAAGAAAAAGAAAAATCCAAAAAAAAAGTTACATGTCTCATCATTTTTTTTAAAAAGACAAAAAATATGTTTTCTTTAAATTAGTTGTTTTTTTTAATTCTCGCCCGTATCCAATCTGCCCGAACTATGCATACCTGATTCTCGACTTTCGGGGCGTGGTACGTAGGCAACCCACATAGGGTCCGGTCTTCCTAGTAAATCTTAGGTTCTTGGCTTTGCGGGGTCTTAGCCAAATTTTGCACTTCTAGCCATATTTTGGCCAAATAAGTCATTGTGCAAAAATAGCCTAAATCATGTCTTGCATGTTTCCAACAGGAAGGGTTATTGTCTCACATAACGCTCTAGGTATTTAACCTATTTGGTTTTAATTTTCTCATACATGCGTGGATTTACTTATTGAAGTTTAAGCATGACAGAGCCCCAGGACATCTAGTCAGGATCGCTCATTCAGGAGTGGATTAAAAGAAGATTTTCTTTTCTTTTTATGTTTTGAGTCTGTTTTTTTTTGTTTTTTTATTTTATGTCGTCTTTTACCTTTTAGTTTTGTATAGTAATGTCGAGTTTTATTATTATTATTATTATTATTGTACTTTCTATTTTGCATTATGAAAGAGTGTGTAATGAATCAAAAATCCATAAAAAAAATGTGCGTTTTATATTTCCGTTAGGAATTTTTTTTAGAATACTAATTGTAGAAATGAAAAAAAAAGTATTTTGGAGGTGTTTTTCCTTTAGGAAATTAATATCTAGGACTTAAATAAAAATTATTTTTATATTCCCTTTACTATATTAGGACCAAAATTCAAAAAAAAAATTCCTTTTAGAACCTTTTTAAAAGTTTTCTTTAAGGCATTAATCTCAAAAATCCAAAAAAAAATTCTTTTGAGGTTCTTCTTTGGGAATTTAATGAAAAATGAAAAGAATATATTATTTTATTTTCCCAAGAACTTTAGGATATTGTACATAGAAGAAAAAAAGAACATACTTTATCTTATGTTTAAAGTTTCTTCCTTTAGGCAATCAAATTGAAATTCAAAAACATGTTGTTTTATCTTTTCATTGCTTGTTTCAAAATCCTGCATCAGGATATCAAATGAAAATTCAAAATATTTTTCTATGGTTTATTCTTTCGATCTTCTTCCTAAAAAATAAGAATCAAAAAATATTTTTTTTTCTCTTCTAGGGTTTTTCCTTAATAATTTTCCATAGTGTTTGTTTCAAAAAAGAAAAAAAAAGCAAAAAATATATGCTCGTTAAGCTTGAGTTTGCAATAGGTTATAGAACATTAAGTCTAGAAAATTCAAAAAAAAAAAGATTTGCTTCTTTTATTCCTCTTTTCTTATTAGAATAGTCCTTAAGGTAAAAAAAAAAAAAGAGAAAAAAAAAGAACGTTAGTTTGTTTACTTTATTCCCGATCTTCCAGAACTACGCAAAGATCTGATTCATGCGACGTCATGATACGTAGGCAACCTACATAAGGTTAGATCGAATCATTTTTTTTACTGTTAAAAGAAAAGAAAAAAAAGGAAAAAGGAAAAAAAAAGAGAAAAAAAGAGATGAAATTGTGGGATGTGAGAAATGAGAGGAAAGAAAAGAGTGAAATTAGAAAAAGAGGAAGGAAAATGATCAAGCAAGTGCTAGAAAAGCAAAGAAAAGAGAGGATTGAAATGAACAAATTGGGATGATGCCAACTGACCTTTGTACCCTCGAAGTCATTTTAGAACCGATAACTGTGGCTAGGTGCATTGCACATAAAGTGAGGTTATCTTATGTTAAATGCCCTAATGCTAACGTGATGGCTTCATTTTGTTATATTCATTGAAGAAGGGTGGTTGGTTTGTCGTTTTTAAA